TGGTTAATAGACTTAAGAGGGATCAATTTTGTTGGTTAAACCGAAACCGTTGTGTTAAGGTTATCAACCTCAATTGATTTCATCAAGGAGTTAAAAAGATTGAATGCTACTATTATATCGGTATACGGCGTTGTTCTATATTTGATTAATAGTAAGGGTTATTAATGAACGGTCGTTGTTAATAACTACCCTCGATGAATTGGAGATACTCCTCGATTGAGTATTCGAGAGGGGATAAGTTATAGATATAACAAGGATAGACTAAAATATATCAACAAGTGGAAAGTAGCAAAGCCAAGTCCCTTTTATTCTTGAATTAAACACATATAGGTTGTTCATCTTAGTTTCTTAATTGAATTAAATCACTCAAAACCAAAACCCCCCTTTTAATTACTAGTTTCATAGAAAGAAAATCATTCCTTTCCCTGTGGATACGAACTCTACTACGCTATACTACGTATAAGTGTTTAGTATTGAAATTATTTTGACGCACCGTGACAAAGTGCTCGTCACCAGCAGCTACTGCCAGCCACGCACGATCGTGCCTGCAAGGGTAGGCACGATCGTGCCTAATTCCGAAAACAGAATTTCAGCAGTTTTTTTGCTCCAGTTCAACCCAGACTCATCTGTTTGCTATAAATAAGGTCTCCCTTCTTCTGTTTAATTGTTATGAGCCAGATACAACACATTATAAAACATCTTGATACATAAGTAATCATCCAAGAAAAACATATACAACACACCAGTAAAACACAGTGCATACAATCATCCAATATTCATAACAAGTAATCATTTGAGACAACATACAAGAGAAAATACGTAAAATTTTATAAATTGTTCCTACAACATCTACTGTACAAGAAAACTGCAATACAAAAGGCAAAGTAGAAGTTCTCATGGTCATCTTGATCACTCAGCCCAGGATCCGCTGTCACCTCCATGCCTACAAAAAAACAAAATCGTATTAGTTAATTTTTAGTATTATATGAATTATACTTTTTTTCATCATCCATTTTATTAATTAATATGTTTTCATGCAACGCTAAGATGAATTGTGAATTACTATAATTAACACCTTACCCACTGGACCCCCCACCATGTCTTGACGATCTCTTCGCACATGTGGCCCTATTATGGCCGGATTGGTGGCATTTTCCACATCTAATCGTTCTTCGGGGACCTTCATCCATCTCATTCTTAATACGTGTCGAATTAGGTCTTCTCTTTGCCCGAAGCATGGATGGATCGTGCACGATTTCAGGTCCATTGCAAGTAGGCCAATAATCACGATCAGGAATGGGTTTGAAGACTCTATGATATGTGGCCGCGTATTGGTCAAATGAGAAAAACTTATCCACAAATGGAGCATAAGAGAAGCTACGTTGTCTGCACACGGCTAACACATGGGAGCATGGAATCTTATATATCTCCATCTTTTTACAAGTGCAAGTTTTCCGTTTAAGATGGACAGTTTGTTTTCTCCCACCCTTCCCCAACGTTCGGCCACCACAACCGGTTTCCACTTGAAATGACCCTCGTCCTAAATCAAATGGAGTAACTATGTGATGCTTGGCCTTCTCTCTATTCTTATCAATTAAATCTGTGATGTATGGGGAGTACTCGTGGCCTTCTATCACTCTCATTTTACTGGGTTCACGCCTATTAACAAAATAAGCATTAACCCGGTAAAAGGAAACCTTGACCAAAGCGGTGATGGGCAAATATGTGGCATTTTTCATCACACCGTTGAAAACCTCTGCCAGATTAGAAGTGATGGTACCGTATCTGTACCCGCCATCGTGGTGCAATGACCACATTTCCGGGGGAATGTTCCCCAGAAATTGTCGTGCCTCCAAACTCATTTCACCTATCTTCTTGAACCCACCGTCAAACTTCTTTTTCTGATGTTGTCGTGCGGTCCAGACAAAAAGATTTTTTAGATGAATGTCTTTGAAATGAGTGTGCACATTCGATGCAAGATGGTGGATACATAGCCTATGATGCGCATAAGGCTCCTCCCAAGTACTGCCCACCTCATTCATTGCCCTGACAATACCTCCATGCCGATCAGAAATGACACACAACTCTCTATTAGTGACAAACTGCCTAATACGTGCCATAAACCATGGCCAACTATCCCCATTCTCAGATTCAACAACTGCAAAGGCCACTGGAAATATTTGGTTGTTCGCATCACAACCCATGGCCACGAGCAATGTACCCCTCTACTTTCCATACAAGTGTGTGCCATCAATAGTAAGTACGGGTCGACAATGCTTAAAACCATGTATTGATGCCTTGAATGCCCAAAAAACTCTTTGAAACTGCATATAACCTGTGGGAGTATTAGGGGGTGGATACCACTGCACAATAGTTCCAGGATTTGAATGTTGGAGCGCTGTCATGAAATGGGACAATTCAGAATATGACTTCTCCCAACCACCAAATATTTCTGCTATGGCCTTTTGCTTCCCCATCCATGTTCTCCGGTATGATACCGTATACCCATACTTTTCCTTCAACATCTCAATGATAGTATGCACTTTAAGAGAAGGATCAGTGCGAACAATGTCAATCACATCTTTAGAGATGAAATCTGAAGTCAAAACCACGTGATCGGTAGTGTCGGTGTTCCCAACACACGTAGCAGAATGAGGTCCAGGATAACACACAATTGTGAAGGTGTCAAGGTTGCCTTTGTTCTTTGTGGCGCGTATTCTCCAGGGGCAATTACATTCTTTCTTCCTTTTGCATTGTGCCACCCATTTGTGTTTATCGGACTCTATCACCCGAAAAAATTGGTTCCATTTGATAGAATACAATCTCACCATATTGATGGCTTGTCCTTTGTTGTCAAACTGTTGACCCACCTCAAACTCACATTCGGGAGTAAACCTTTTCTCACCTGATCCACTCAGCCACGCATCAGTAAAGCCTTCAGGGAGATCATACATTCTAGTAAAGTGGGTAGATGGGGCAGTTGCCGTGACCGTATCACCACCATCTTCATCAGATTCTGTCATTTCTTCACCATTGATGTTGTCGTCAGCATCATCATCACATCACTGGCCATTCACAAATGATGCACCGTTGTGCAAATACCTACCATCTTCTTGTATAACCATGTCCAGTACAGGAGCATTTGAGGAATTCCCTGCATTCACACCTGTGTTGACATAATGCCTAGATACAACAGCATTTGATGTTGATGGAGTACCATAAGCGTCACAAAAGGATTCCTCAATGTAAATCTCCAGCATCGACATGTCCTCCATCTGAACTATGCCCCACATATTTGTTATAGCTAGCTCATCAATGAGGGGCATAAGCATGTACTTTCCCCCGTTCATGGGAAATTTCATTTTCAAACGCAAAGAACGGCTAGGATGAATCATTGTAGCTGCATGTATTTTTTGAAGGATCTCGAGCATGCAAGCACCACGAGAAACCATGATAAATGTGGTTGTACCACCTTCATGGCATATTTGCCCAGCATCCTCATAATAGTTCCCTCCCCAATGACACACGATTGGGAAGCCTGAGAAATCCATATTCTAATAACAATTGAAATATATCCAAAAGTCAAAATTCACAAACAACTCACATTTCAATATGAAAATATACAAATTTTGCTAGCTACGTTCAAATCTACCAAAATGCCCAAATGTCAAAATACACTTTAAAATTTACAATCAATTTAAAATCAAATTTCAACATTTCATACATATCCACATTTCACAACAACTCAATTCACAATCAATTCACAATCTAAAAATTCGAAATGAGATGAAATGGAGTTTGATTTACCTACAAGAAAGAAGAAAGAGTGTTGAAGATGAAAATGGAGGTTTGCCGGAGTGGGGTAGCTGGAGATGGAGGTTCGCCGGAGTTCCAAATCGCTCGGTCGTCTTCGTCCTTCGTCCTTCGTCGCTGCGGCTTAGGGGATTTTGGAGATTGGGTTTAATTTACGCAGTGTTCTATTTTGCTTGGTCGAAGTTTTTACTTAAAGGTAAGTCGTCCAACGGTTGGGCGACTTATAAGTCGCCCAACGGTTGGACGACTTACCCCGACCATGGTTAACCCAACAGTATATTGGTAAATACTTTTAACCCAACCCTATTTTCGTAATTAAATAATTAATTAATTAACATTAATTCGAAAAAAACTCCAATTTTGAATGACTGTCTTATTTGTTATGTTGAAAAAGATGTGTTTAAAACAGTTACGAAGGAAGCTGTGATTGAGCGGTTTCAAAAAAATGAAAAATCGTAGAGAGCAATTGTAATAAAATATACTATCTCCGTCTCCCTAAGTTTGGGACAAATGTGTGTGATGTGGTTTTTAAGAAAAAGTAGAATTATATGGTGATATTGAATTGATAAAGTGTGAATAAAATGAGAATGCATTCTAACCACTCAAATATTACCAAATACGGTATGAGATAAACTTAATGAGACAGACAAAAAAGATAAAACAGAACAAAGTTAGAGGGACAGAGTGAGTAATATATATTTTCTAGCATGCTAATATTGATTTTTTAATCTTTTAAAGTTAATATATAATTATTAGAATTTTCTTACTTTTACTTAATTTGTGCCCTCAATAGTTTAATTTTCTAGATCCATCCCTCAGGCCACACCTACTTCTCAAGTAAGTTAACCGACGCTTACATGTTAATACATTCATGATTCAACTTGAGCAAAAACAAAAAAGATAAGTAGTATTCCCTCCGTCCCGCTAAGATTATCTCATACCAAATTTGATAAAATTTATATGACTCTAAATGATTTTTATTTTATTCTTACTTTATCAATTTAATATCAACCACACAAATTCACTTTTCTTAATAATCGTGTCACCTTCTCACGTCTCAATTTTAGTGAGATTGAGGTTAGTAAAAGATTAGAAAAGTTAAAGATCAGCAAAGTTTTTTTGAGAAAAGTTAAAGTTATTAATAAACCGTGACTCGGAAGTCATGTATGTAGTCCATGGGCCTTACAGCCCTTTTACTGCTCATCCCTGACCCGCATTCCTAATCCCACTGGGAAACACCAAAACCTCCTCTATTAAGTATCGAGCCGAGCGACCTTACCCATTCTGTTCTCGTGTTCTTTCCTGCAAAGTATCTCCATCTCCTCTATCCGATTCTTGAATCTAGATCGAAGATGAGTAGCCAGGCCGAGTCATCTGACTCGTGAGTCTTTCTCTCTCAATTCGTCCATGGTTATTAGTTGATTAATCGAAGGTACTTTCTTGCAAGACTGTCTATTTTCTTATGTGGTTTCCTCTTGTTTCCCTTGTTGCAGTAAAAGTACCAAGAAGGATTTCTCTACTGCGATCTTGGAGAGGAAGAAGTCCCCTAACAGGCTCGTTGTCGATGAGGCGGTCAATGATGATAACTCTGTCGTTGCTCTGCACCCCGCCACCATGGAGAAGCTCCAGCTCTTCCGCGGGGACACAATTCTGATAAAGGTAACCTACTATTTCTTGAATTTTACTCATTCCATATCTCCTATGAACTATTAATTTTTAGGGTTTTAATAGAATCCTAGAATTTGTGTATCCACTTACCAGAATGTGTAGGGCACTAATCGCGCTGTACTTTTCTAAAATCCATAGCTACTTTGTAAACCCTATATTATGTTTTCCTACTTTATGTTGGTGAGCAGAGCTGCATAAATCCATTCCTTCAGATACCTCACGAGAGGCATGTCTTGAGTCTTGATTCTCGAGCGGTTATGATTCAGTGAGGACATACGTGATCTGTGACAGGCCAATATAAACCGACTGTGATATAATGAGCAGTGACTTAGATATCCTATTTTGAAAAACACTGAGGGATTTATATAATGTGATAGTGTGTCCCCCCAGGCTTTATGACCAACTTATCTTTGGAATTGTATTCTGGTTCCCTGCAAATGCCTTAATAATGTTCTTTTCTATTTAACATGGTGCAAATTCAGTTGGTGGTTTTATAAGGTTTTATTGTATATTTACGTATATTCATTATGATCCACTTTTGTTCTATCTTGGTGTATATTGGATGCAACAATAGTTCAAATTCTTTTTTCTAATACTTCCTCCATCCCTAATAACTTTGCCAAGTTTGACCGGCACGGGGAATAATAAAGTAAAAACTGTGTGGTTAAGGTTTGTGCAGAGGGGAGAGAATGAGTTGGAACCACAAATTCTTTATTTAAAAGGGAAAGTGGCAAAGTTTGTGGGACATCCAAAAAAGGAAAGTTGGCAAAGTTTTAAGGGACGGAGGGAGTATGACTTGTGACGTATAACAAAGATTATTAAATACAATCCAAAACTGAATTAGTTTTTTGCTTGTTTTTAGTGTGTAGTATTTATGATATTTTGAGTGACTCCTAGTTTTGTTTTCTTTAACTTATTTTAGGGAAAGAAAAGGAAAGATACTGTGGTTATTGCACTTGCTGAAGAATCCTGTGAAGAGCCAAAGATTAGGATGAACAAAGTTGTACGTTCAAATTTGAGGGTCCGACTTGGTGATGTTGTATCTGTACACCAGTGTCCTGATGTTAAGTATGGGAAGCGCGTGCACATACTTCCTATTGATGATACAATTGAAGGGGTCACCGGAGATCTCTTTGAGTCCTATTTGAAACGTAAGTTTTCACATTGAATGACCTTTTTTACTTATCACTCTCTATGGTTCAAATGTTTAGGTGAATTAAGTCATTAGGATGGTGGGTTGTTTCATGTCAGACTTTAAGGTATATCTGCATACCATATCTAAATTTATATTTTCAACTTAGTTACCTACTAAAATGTCACCAAAAAGTTTTTATAGATTACCTTTTCCACACTAGTTACTATTTTTAGTTACAGTTATGAAGTTAGAAAGTAGAAGCATCTCTTATTCTGTTTGTGTATAGTATAAGACTCTGATATATGTTATTTTCTTAAAATAGCAAAGCTGCCTCTAGTTGAATATTTGGTTGTGTATCTTCAAAATGGAGCAATTTTCAACATTGTAAACTATTAAGATTCAGCTACATAGAGTTATCCAAGCTTCATTGTTTTCTTTTTGTAAACTGCGTGGCTGACATTACTGATTTTTCATTATTCAATCCTAGTGAGATCACGAATGATTACATTTTGCAGCTTACTTTTTGGAGGCATATCGACCAGTGAGGATATGCGATCATTTCCTTGTTAGAGGAGGGATGAGAAGTGTGGAATTCAAGATTATTGAAACCGATCCCCGTGAATATTGTGTTGTTGCTCCAGACACTGAAATCTTCTGTGAGGGTGAGCCGGTGAGGCGCGAGGATGAGAACAGACTCGATGAAGTTGGCTATGATGATGTTGGTGGTGTGAGAAAACAAATGGCTCAAATTCGTGAATTGGTGGAGTTGCCTTTGAGGCATCCCCAACTTTTCAAATCCATTGGGGTTAAGCCACCCAAGGGCATTTTGCTTTATGGTCCTCCTGGTTCTGGAAAGACACTTATAGCAAGAGCTGTTGCTAATGAAACTGGTGCATTCTTCTTCTGCATCAATGGTCCAGAAATCATGTCCAAATTAGCTGGAGAGAGTGAAAGCAATCTTAGGAAGGCATTTGAAGAGGCTGAAAAGAATGCTCCTTCCATCATATTTATTGATGAGATTGATTCAATTGCCCCAAAGAGGGAGAAAACACACGGTGAAGTTGAGAGAAGAATTGTCTCACAACTTTTAACTCTGATGGACGGACTGAAATCACGTGCTCATGTTATAGTTATGGGAGCTACAAATCGTCCTAACAGTATTGATCCTGCTTTAAGGAGATTTGGTCGGTTTGACAGGGAAATAGACATTGGTGTTCCAGATGAAATTGGACGCCTTGAAGTTCTTCGGATTCATACTAAGAACATGAAGCTGGCTGAAGATGTAAGGCTGTCACATTGTTTTATGTTTTTGCTGTGCATGCAAAAAGAAAAAAATACTCCATATTTATTTTGGAAGTTGTTTCTCTATTTTTGTTAGGTTGATCTGGAGAAAATCGCTAAAGACACTCATGGCTATGTTGGTGCTGATCTTGCTGCTCTTTGCACCGAAGCTGCACTTCAATGCATTAGAGAAAAGATGGATGTCATTGATTTGGAGGATGAAACCATTGATGCTGAGATTTTGAACTCTATGGCTGTTTCAAATGAACACTTCCAAACTGCCCTTGGAACAAGCAATCCTTCTGCTTTGCGTGAGACTGTAAGTATACTTGCTTTGGTAACATTTAAAGGCCGATTTGGATTACTTCATGGTACAAATGCCTTCTAAATCAAACACTTTAAGAGTTTAAGTGGTTTTCTTAGAGCTACAATCTGATGCTTTCTTCAATAAGCACTAAAAGTGTTTTACTGTCAAGTGCCTCTTTTTGAAGTACTACTTTTTCCACTAAAAGCAATTATGCCTTGGAAACAAGTATCCCAAATGAACTTTCATATTGTGATGACATGATAAAGTTTTAAGAACACAATTTTACTGCTTTTGTACTTCAATGTACCTTCAGGTTGTGGAAGTGCCCAATGTCAGCTGGGATGACATTGGAGGTCTTGGAAATGTTAAGAGAGAGCTTCAAGAGGTAATGTTTGAATATTTTGTCATTGTTTTGAAAACTTAACAGCCTTATTTAAAATCTTTTAGCTCATGGTCTAACCTTTTTTACTATCATGCACGTAGACTGTTCAATATCCTGTGGAACACCCCGAGAAATTTGAGAAGTTTGGTATGTCACCTTCAAAGGGTGTTCTTTTCTATGGACCACCAGGGTGTGGAAAAACTCTGCTGGCCAAGGCTATAGCAAATGAGTGTCAAGCCAATTTCATCAGTGTGAAAGGCCCTGAACTACTCACCATGTGGTTTGGAGAGAGTGAGGCCAATGTTCGTGAAATATTTGACAAGGCTAGAGGTTCTGCACCTTGCGTTCTCTTCTTCGATGAGCTTGACTCCATCGCCACTCAGGTATATTCAGTTTATTTTTATTGGGGTATGTTTGGATGTTGTAAAATGTTGGTGAAAGAAAAAATGACAGGGAAAGCTATTTTCTTTAGTTTGACCTCAGGGAAAGTGAAATATGTTGAAGTTGTTTGTTTAAACCTTATATATACATTTTTACTTTCATAATAGTTCTTAGTCATTGTATACTACAGAAAAAAATAAATAAAATTGATTTTGAATTAATATAAAAAGAAATACTCTTTTTTTGTAACATTTTTTTCCTCGCATTTTGTTTCCTTCCAAATTTCATGTATATCATGTGTTCTAAATAGAACCTTAATGAAAGCCACAATAAGTCTTAAATTAGATTTGCTTAATAAAAATTCTGTACTGTGAATCCTGTGATAATAAAATAATCCACCCTGGAATTCTGGTAGAGGGGAAGCAGTGTTGGAGATGCAGGTGGTGCAGCCGATCGGGTTCTTAACCAACTCCTGACAGAAATGGATGGCATGACTGCAAAGAAGACCGTTTTCATAATTGGGGCTACAAACAGGCCTGATATAATTGATCCGGCACTTCTTCGCCCTGGTCGACTTGATCAGTTGATTTATATTCCTCTGCCTGACGAAGATTCCAGACATCAGATATTCAAGGCCTGCCTTAGAAAGTCTCCTGTTTCTAAGGATGTTGATTTGCGGGCTCTTGCAAAATACACTCAAGGTTTTAGTGGTGCTGACATTACAGAGATCTGTCAGCGAGCCTGCAAATATGCCATCAGGGAGAACATTGAGAAAGTATGTCTTATCTCTTACTGATTTCTAATTTGAAAATTTTACACATTCAGTTCCTCACTTCCTCCCCCCATTGTGCATGGTTTTGGATTGCCTGTCACTTTCAGTACTTTTGAGGGAAGATCAGAAGTCGTGAGAAATCCTCTTGATTTGCCCCAGAATGGAAAAATTAAAGTCAAGGGTCGAGAATTAAAATGACCTAATATTTGTGGAACCGTGGTGGAATATTTTATCTCTAATTAACTGTATCGGCTCAATAAATGGCTGCATTATAAAGAATATATTTTACTGGACTACGAAAACAGAAAAAAAAGTTATGGTTTAAATATTACCTCTTCAGCTAATTTAGATAAAAAATCCGCCTCTTATGTACTTATCATTATTAAACAGTTCAGCATGCAAAAAAGTCAGTGTTGGGAAAACTGTATAGCTGATACTCTGAAAGGGCTCATAAGCCAAAAAGACGATGGCCTCTAAAAGGGCACCTCATGTGTTTATTTATCTTTAATACGGAGTACGAAGTATGACTCATCAATCAAGTTATTATGTGGGTGCAGGATATAGAGAGGGAAAGAAGGAAGGGGGAGAATCCAGACTCCATGGACGAGGACGTGGATGATGAAGTTGCAGAGATAAAGGCTGCACATTTTGAGGAGTCGATGAAGTATGCTCGTCGGAGTGTCAGTGATGCAGATATACGCAAATACCAAGCGTTTGCTCAGACTTTGCAGCAGTCTAGGGGATTTGGGGCTGAGTTCCGGTTCACAGAATCAGCCGCGGGTGGGGCAGCAGCTGGATCTGATCCTTTTGCAAATTCTGCTTCTGCACCTGATGAAGACGACCTGTATAGTTAAATATATAAATGTTCTTTCTTATCTGTATTTTGCGGGGTGGCCCAACTGTTTTTCAAGTTTGCAACAATGGTGGTCTTTCTGTTATTATTGTCTAACTTAAGCGACTCTTTTAAATCACCAGACTTCCATACTGTTCTTCTGTTTCTATGTGAACAATTTCTGAAGACATGGTTACAAGTTATTAGAGTATATTACTGCAATTATTGTAATTCCTGGTATTGCATGGGTTCTCGACTTCTCGGTTCTCCTGACTCAAGCTTTTGAAAAAGATGCAATTGTCAAGATTTATCTTTAATATTTTAAAGATGCAATTATGTTCCTAAAGGTTCACTGAATGTTTGTGTTGATCAACCCTAATCGACCTTAAACAAACTTTTTCAAACCAAAAAAGTAGAAAGGTAGTTTGGAAATTAAGTTCTATATTTGTTCCATTCCACAAATCCTTCTCAGGACTTTTATCTTGTTACTGTTGACTGTTCTATTGTACTTGCTACTTGTGTGAGGTTGTGTTATCCCTTGAAGAGGAAAGGCGAAACACTCATCTCAAAGTCTCAAAATGACATTATTCTGAATTCTGAACTGAACAACATTCGGATACATCGGTAGTTCAGTACATGCATACGAGTTCACCGCTTCTAAATAGGGATGGAATCGGGCCGGCCCGGGCCCGGGCCTAGGCCCGGTCGGGCCGCCGGTTCAAGAAAAGTGGGCCCGGGACCGGCCCGAGGGTTGGACGGGTCCGGTTCGGGCAGGGCCACCCGCCCGGGTCACGGGTCGGGTCCGGTTCGGGCCGGGCCGGTTAATTTTTTTTTATAATTTATATTTTATAGTTTATAGTTTTATACGAGTATTAAAAACAAACTTCAATTGCATTTATTTGAAATGAAATAGGAACTACATTTCAAAATTAAAACAAACTTTAAGAGATAAACATTTTGAAAATTGTAATCAATCGGAACTTCCCGCACCCCCGATCCTTTGGCTTTGTCACATGACTTCATATGCTTGATTGTCATCCCGAATCCGCCTGAAGCCCCCATGTTACATTTTTTCTCGCACCATTTGCAAATTGCGTACCACATCCCGGTCTTCGGGTTCTTCTGCTCATCAAAATTATACCGTATAATGGCATCTTGATTTTCCATCTTAACTTCTTAAGTATAAACTATAAAGTAGATATATAAATAATAAATATAATATATTGGAGAATAAGAGAATTAGAGAGTAGATAGTTAAGAATAGGATTTAGGAAGAATTGGAGAAGAGATATGAAAAAATGTTTAAGATTAGGAGTATTTATAGGTTTTTTTACCCCCCACCCCACCCCCCCCACCAGCCAACCCCCCCGGACCCCCCCCTTTACCCCACCCAACGGCTATATAGCCGTTTGGGTTGTCCCCACCCCCCACCCCCAAGGCCCCAACGGCTAGTAGCCAAACCAAACAAAAAAAAAGTTTTTTTTTTAAAATAGACCCGGACCCGGGCCCGGGCCCGACCCGGCCGGCCCGGCCCGGGTCACAAAAATCCAGAACCGAGCCCGCCCCCGCCCCTTCCCATCGGTTCGGGTCCATACCCGGTCCCGGACCGCCCGACCGGGCCGGTCCCGGGCCCGCACAGTACCGGGCCGGGCCGGGTCACGGGCCGGGTGGCCCGAACCGAATCCACCCCTAAGTTCACCTTACTACTTGTGTGAGGTCGTATCGTCCCCCGAAGAGGAAATGAGAAACTCATCTCAAACCGACGTTAGTCTGAACTGAACAACATTTGTGAATTGTGATTTTGTGTACATGCATGAGTTCACCTTGCTGAGCTAGTTGTACGTATCGGTGGAGTTTATTCAGATACACCAGATTACTTTAAGTTCTTCCTTCACTAAACAGACCATTATAACACTATAGGTATAGGTGATGCAATAGCTCTAGGAATAGTGGCCGGATCTCAGCTTAACCCCAGTGGGTCCGAGTTGGAAAAGGATACTAAATGATCAAACATTTAAAGCCATGAGCTAGTTGTTATAGGGTGGGTAAATATGTAGCACATATTTGTTCCATTAAAGTAAAACAGGATGTATTAAATATTGCGCCGGCGTGACAAATATTGAAGTTTTTTTAACTTTTTATTGAAAAAAAATATATACAATTACCGGGTGAATAAACTAAATGGCTAAATGGTCATTATTTGTGGAAATGTGGAGGAAAAACCAAAATAGTTTCATACTCCCTAATCCCTATGTTCCGTGATTTTTTTACACTTTCATTTTTGAATGTCTCAAAAATTTCTTCTTATTTCCTTTTAAGGAGTACTTTGTGACTTTGTGTGATTATCATTTTTTTATTTAATTTGTTACATCAACAATAACTATACATTTTTATTTTATTAGTAAGCGTGTAAATTCAAAGTGAGAGTTTTCTTAAGACTTTAGAAACCTTGTAATTTCATGGTCATTTTTTTCCGAGATACATAAAAAACCAAGAGTGGTTATAGCTGTATAATTAAGCTAGGGAGATTAAACATTGACAAATGAAGAAACAATGTCTCACTTGAGTATTTTATTTGCGTCAAACCTCAAAAGTAATTCGTAGCCAACGCGACCAATTTGTTTTTAATTTATGAGTAATACTTTTTACCTATCCCCTAATATCATGCATGTAAGCGAAGTCTGAATTGAATAATATCTTATAATTCGATAAGATCTTTCCACTTATAAATGCTTGGAAATAATCAAAATATATCAATATATTATAAAATCAAATACTACACAAGTGAACTCAGAAATGATATAATTCACGCACCCCACACCCAACCCCAACCCCATTGAAAACATGCAAACCCTACCTGCAGGTAACTTGTTCTGATAGAACTTTATATATATATCCAACTCCAAATAATGAAAGAAAGCACGAATGGGAAACAAATAGACTTAATTTATTACCTTCTTAATTAACCATTACATTAATTAACCTGAGTTATATAAATGTTACGCTCCCGAAATTATTAAAACGAAATTGATGATACTGAAGTGATCAACAACGTAATTAACCTTAGCAAGCTAATTACGGTTTCTGGTGATGGCGGGGATGAGGAGGATCGGAGCAACGGAAAGAGCCAAGAATGTGATAGTTAACGTAACGACTAGGGGCAGAAGCATGCCTAAATCCCTTTGGCAAACAGTCCTTAATTTCCTTCCCATGGAAAGCCGGCATCCTCCCTTGCTTCAAAGGCCCTCTCAATTCTACTTCTCCTTCTCCCTTTTTATCATCACTTACTCCCTCATGACTAGCACCCGAGGAAACCGATGACTTTGTCGTCGTCATCGTCGTCTTCGAAGGCACCCGACGATCGGGACTAGCCCGCTCCCCGCCAACCCGATCCAACAACGTCATAGAAACCACCAACATGCACACAATAACGAATTTGTGGCGTGCTAGTAAATTACCAAGAGAAGCATACATAGTATATATTGTTGTTGTGGTAAAGCTAGCTTAGCTTAGTCTATATTTTGAATTTGGAATATATGGGAAGAAGAGGCTAATAGGGGAAGCCGGATGTTAAAGACTATATTGAGTGGGAAAGTAGGATGAGTATAAATAGGCCCGTGAGCAAGGGGTGGGTTTATATAGATATATATTGGTGCATATATGGCATGCATATATACGTGCAGACAGCTCATTGCTATCCGAGCAAAATTAATTAAAGTTAAGGTAGCTCGACATATGCATGGAGATCAGATTGATCTAATTCATCCAAATAGCTTGCATGCATATCCATATCCATGCATCAGGCAAGTCGGACTACTACATATGTATGTATGTATCAGTGGCAGATCCAGGATATTTTATTGTTGGGGGCAAAATTTAAAAAAAGTATTAATCACAATTTTGAGTGAATACTATATATCCATTTTATTCATTTTGGCAAGTAGTTTCTATTTTTAATAGAAACAATAAAAAAATTATTCATAATTTGAATGATTTTGAGAAACTAATCTAATATAAAATAAATGTATTTTTAATTATTGAATACTATTCTATTTAAATAATAATAACAAATACTATCTCATAGCTAAACAGCTAAATTATCAAACATTTTCTCGCACCCCGTCAACTTATTCCATTAGTCAAATACGTTGACTGAATTCACTATTCACAACCCACTAACATAACCCGCTATCCGCTAATCGCTAATCGCTGAATGCCAAACACGCTTATCCATTATTCATTAAGTTTATATTTAACTACTATAGTTCTTGTGTAAGTGTAGTGAACAGAATCAATATTGTGATCAATAATCAATTTGGATATTATTATAGCAAACAAAACACATTATATTTCTTAAATTCTTGCAACTAATGAAAAAGTAATTAAATCAATTAGTTTTTATTAACCTTCTCTAGTGGTCTTTTTATCTTTTTTTCTTTTCATTTTTCTTATCTTTTTTATTTTTTTAATTATGTCTTTGATCTTTTTGTTTATCTTATATGGTTATATTATCATTTTTATCTTTATCTTAATTTGTTTATATTTTTATCATTTTTGTTATATTTTATCTTTTATTTTCTTATCGTTTTAACTTTTTAAACTCTGATTTCATATGTGTATTCTTGTTAGCCAACTGTTAGCCAACGTCAAACTCTCTTGGGATTAAGACTTGATTGTTATTGTTGTTGTGTACAAATAAACATAATTATTTATCTAACTCTCGTGATTTAATTTCAATTTAAAATTTAGAATTTATTAAGAAAAACTATTAAGAGACGTATCATTAGTACATTTTCTAGATAAATTCTCAATGTTTAGCCATTTTCCTATTTAACTAAAATCTATTTTATGAGAGGCACACTATTTTTTCATTGGGGGCACTATTTTTTCATTGGGGGCATGGGTTCAAGTATGGAAACTATTGATATTTATAGCAATAATATTCCATGTTTATTGGGAGCAAGTGCCCCCACTATACTATACGGTATGTATTCCAAGTTTATTGGCTAAAGAATACTGTATGTATTGAAGGCAAAACGACACAATATTAGTGTATGTTTTATTCCCACTTTAAGACCAATAACGCTTTTGGAGAAGTTGTAGTAATAGTCTAGTCTAACAATCTTGTTACACTTACTACATTGAAAAGATAAAAACTACAAATAAAAGATATATCTTCACCAGTTATTGAAAGGAAAAAATTTAATTGGTTTATCCAACAATCAACAAAGAAACTATATATCTAATAGAAATTGTCCAAAAATTGGTTTAATTAGCAAACGAAAAGAAGATCTTGCTAAGCACTCTTTTTCTCTCATAGTAAGGATGTGTTTTAGGAGAAGTGCGAATAATTTGCTCTTCATTCGCAAGACTTATTTTCGGTCCGCCAGCTCATCCAGACCGACTTCCTCAGTCTTCCTTTCCGTTTTTACTTGCTGCATGTGTACTCTAATTTCGATGTTAGAGGTATGTTTCCTTATACGTGTTTCATGTTCACAAAGCGTCTGTAGTCCAACGGTTAGGATAATTGCCTTCCAAGCAATAGACCCGGGTTCGACTCCCGGCAGACGCAATTGTTTTGAATCAATTTTTTTATAATTGATTACTCCAGGACTCCATCTCGAATTGAAACAATTAAACACAACTCTTTATCTGTTTTCTTGCTATCATTAATTAAGTTAGTAGACACAAGTAATTGCGGGAGGTAAACACAACTCTTTATCGGTATTTACTATTTAGAAGCGGAAGGTAATTTGTGGGACAACATGTATTTACTTGGACTATTTTTAATTCTACATCAGAATTAAACAATCCAGATTAGACTTGATTTTCGTAGTTATAAATTACACAGAGATTGTTTACCAGATTAGACCACCAAACTACGGTCCAAATATAAACATACTTAAATGACCATCTCTAAATCATCAACCATGTTTTATAAATTTGATTCATTTTATTTTATTTTGTAGGATAATCCATTTGCCATAAATATAGTATGAGCATAAAAGATACAGGAAAATTTTCTAAGATATGACTAAAGTTGAATGAGTTTCTCAATCTATGACCTAACTAGTTTTTGGATTTTTGTATGACCGACAATCCAAAAACAAAAAAGAAAATTCTGTTTTTAATTAAAAGTTGAATGACCAGAATACCCTTATTTAAATTATGTGCGGTTTGTGTTGGAAAATATTCCATTTAAGTGCCCTTGGACCATTTATATAATTTAATATATTTTGGGGACATTTATGTCTTACCATTAAGTTTGCCATGTGACAGATTTGGTCCCTGATTTATGTATTGTTAACATATGATGGGTATGTTTTAACATTAAATAATACATAAGGGATCAAATGGGTTTTCTCTTTGATACAAACATAAGTACTCGTTCGGTTCTCACTCTTACGACAAAAGGAAAAGACACGCTTCTTACCAAGGGTCTCGAACACCATTATAAAAGAGACTCATATGAGAACCGATCAATCCATCACAGTAGGGATTTGTATCCTTAGAGAATCTACACATCAATGGCTTCATCGTCTTCTACGACACCATCAACATTCGGTTTCTCCTCAACCGAGCAAGGTTAATTCTCGCTTACATCGATAAATTTTTGTGTTGTGCGGAAATTTCAATCTGTGTTTTGCGGAAATTTATTCATCTGTGTTGTGCGGAAATTTCAATCGGCCATTTTGTTTTCCACCGGCCTTGTGAATATTTAGTCACTTTCATTTATGTTGTTAGGATAATTATTGAATTTTGAATGCTATGTTTTATTTTTGTTTGTACTCACAAGTCGGTTCCACTGGTTTATAAACCAGATGATATCAAAGTATGTCCTGGTTTTCCACTGGATTCAGAAAGTTGCTTTTCTAACTTATATCCTGATATATGATCGATGTGTTACTCTTCTTTGAACCACTACTTGGTTAGTTTTTTCTGGAATCTGAAATTCACATCTGATAAATATCATTTTTGTATCTGCAATATTTCCAGAACGTATAAAATCAACATAAATGCAAAATTACAGCCCATTTAAAATACGTATATACAATCTGAAACTTTATTTAGGAACATCTGCAAGTAAAAGTTTAACTTTTGGAACATCCATGATATCAGTTGGTATTTCTATTCTTAAATTGTAAATTGTTAGTTTTATTTTTTCAGATTATGGAATATAGATTACCTAAAGGATGTTTTCTTAAACTGGTACATTAAGATACTGCCCTTACATCCGTTTTTTTTTGTATAAGGGGCCTTAGTTTTCTAAATGTTCTTATTAGTACTCATTTGAAACTAACGACTTGGTCACTTGCAATTTAAAAGATACGTAATCATAATCTATGATGCCAGACTAATACTGCAGCAATTTTGAATTTTCTGCCATATTCAAATTATGGATTATTGATGATCTTAGTGTCAAATTCAATGATCAGCCCAACAGAAGATTATTGATTTTGACCATCTTAAACAATTATATGAGTTTTCTTTTAACAAACTCAAAGGTGTGTTATTTGATAACTTATATAATGAAATTTAAGCATAATCAAATGTGTTATATTTCTGCCCAAAGGTGATATGTGACACAATTTGCAGCCTAATTTTAATTTTAATATCATAATGTTTGATAGTTAGCATTAGCCAACGCAATGTTAGTTATTAAACATGATATGAATTGTTCCTATTATTTGGTGTTGATAATAGGCTTATTTACTAATGATTGACATGCCTTATTGTATTCCCTTATATATAATAAATAGCTTCTATTATTACCTCTGTTAAAACTTTTATTTCAGCATCTATTGTTACCCCATACAATTATGGGATAGAACCTCTAAATGGTACAAACTTTTCAACATGGAGAGAATCTGTAAAGCTCTCACTTGGCATGATGGACCTCGACCAAGCACTGAGAACTGATCCACCGGATACTCCTAGCGCTGAGAGCACTGTGGATCAGAAGCGTTCTTATGAACAGTGGGAGAGGTCCAACCGAATGTGCCTCATGGTGATCAAGAATTCCATATCTGTAGCTATTCGCGGAGCCATTCCAGACTCTGGAAATGCGAAAACCTACCTAGAATATGTGGAAGAACAGTTTAAGGGCACTTCTAAAGCACATGCTAGTACCCTAATTCTCAAAATGTTGACAAGTAAGTACGATGGAGTGAGTGGTATTCGTGAGCACATCATGAAAATGTCTGATATGTCCAATAAGCTCAAAAGCATGGACATGGAGATCAGTGAAGGTTTCCTCGTTCATTTCATAATGACTTCTCTACCTGCATCATATGGTCCGTTCAAGATCAATTACAACACGCAGAAAGAGAAATGGACAATGAGCGAGTTGATTGCTATGTGCGTTCAAGAAGAAGAGCACCTTAAAGTTGAAAGACCAGATGTTGCTCATCTCACCACCACAAACTCAAAGAAAAGGAAAGGCAATCGTCAAGGAGGAGGAAAAGGTAACATTTCTAAGGTCCCAAAGATAGGTGCAAGCGTGAGCTCCGGTCCTTACTGTAAGTTTTGTCGCTTCAAAGGGCATTACCAGAGGGAGTGCCCTAAGTTTAAGGCATGGTTGACTAAGAAAGGTAA